ATCAGAAATAATTGTTTGTTACAAATAAATTAGAATTACTGTTTGTTAGCAAGTAGCGTCTGTCGCGAGACGCGGACGTCACGTGATATGGAACGTCACTGTTCGGATATTCCTAACTTAAATCTAACTGTAATAAATATTTTAGATGTTGTTTAAAAAAATAAAAAAAATTTTTTAACTATATTTTAAAAAATGCTTAACTATTGAAATATTTATAAAGATTTAAAATACCCAAGTCTTTATTTAACCCTAGTTTATATGTATTTAATTTTAAAATCCAGTATTTTTCTTTTTTTTCTGCGTGTGTATGTGGAACTGAAATCAGAATCTATCAATAAATATTTACAGTTTTCTAATGAGTGTTCTGATTGATTAAAGTGTTTAGCTATGGGGGAATAAGGATTGTTTTGACGTATGGTTTGTTTATGATTATTGAAGCGAAATCTAAAATTATTTCCAGATTCACCAATATATTCACTATTAGGACATAAGGTGCAGAATAAATAATAGATTATGTTATGGCTATCGCAGGTGAGGTTAGGTGGGTGTATCTTGATATTGGTGTTGGGTACAGAAAATACATTATTTATTATTAAATGTTTGCAAACTAAGCAACGAGGTTTGTTACATTTGTAATTTCCTGATTGGTTTGTATTGTTTAGATATTTGGTAGAGGTGAGGATAGCTGATAGGTTAGGTGACTGTTTCTTTGCATTTATGGGTGGTTTATCGAAAATGTCTTTGATCTTTTTGTCTAACTGGAGGTTTTTGTAATCCTTTTTTAAATTGTGAATAAGTGTGTGGGAATATTGATTGTGGTTAAAAACCATGGGAATCCGATTGTTGTTTTTACTTTTTTTGTATGTAAGAAGTGTGTTACGATTTATCAGGATAGTTTTATTTAGTGTTTCATTTATTATTTTTATTGGGTATTTACATTTTAGGAATTGTTTTGTTAAGTTATTAATGTTGTATAGAAAATCTAGATGGTCTGAGCATATGCGTTTGATTCTTAGAAATGAGCTGTATACAATAGATTTTTTAATTTAAAGGGATGACAGCTGTTAAAGTGCAGGAATTTATGTTGGTTTGTGGGTTTGTTGTATAGACTGGTAGAAAGTGTATGTTTGTTTAATTTTATCATAACGTCTAAGAAAGGGATGGATGTGTATAAGTGCTCCATGGTAAATTTAATTGTATCGTGGAAGTTGTTGCAGAAAGTGAAAAAGGTTTTTAATTTTTCTGATCCATGAGTCCATAGTAAGAAAATGTCATCAATATATCTAAAGTAATGTGATGGTTTATATTCTGAATTGTCTAGTATCTTCCTTTCTAGAATGTGCATAAAGATATTAGCATAACTAGGTGCCATTTTCGTGCCCATTGCTGGGCCACTAATCTGTAAATAGTGTTTGTTGTTGAATTTAAAATTATTATGTGTTAAAATGAAATTTATTAATTGGCATATATCTGTAATTTGGTAGTTAGGTAATTTTTTGTTACTAAGGAACTCATAGCAAGCTGATACTCCTTCAACATGTGGAATGTTCGTGTAAAGGGACGAAGCATCCATCGTTACTAGGATTGTATCATGGTGGACTAAGTTAATGTTTTGTAATTTGTTGAGAAAGTCAGTAGTGTCTCTAATATAACTAGGTATGTCAGGCAATAAAGGTTTTAGGATATTGTCTGTATACCCAGATATAAGTTCTGTGAGGGTACCAATGCCTGATATTATGGGTCTACCAGGTGGCATGATTTTAAGGGTTTTTGAAATTTCATAGATGTTCTCTTCATTATTTGATTGTGTAATTTGATGTGGGTTGGATGAAAAGGTGTTAGGGTGTTTTTCTGAAAGGATTTTGGGGAGTTTATGTAGTTTTGGGATAGTGTAGAATGTTGCTGTTTTAGGGTTCTCAGGAATAAGAGATTTTATGGTATTTTTTATGTTGTGGTTCAGGTTCTGAGTGAGAAGTAATAATTCTGTTTTGAATGTGCTAGTTGGGTCTAGAGGTAAGGGTATATATATATATATATATATATATATATATATATATATATATATATATATACCGGTCTTTGTTGTTTTCTTCACATTTCCTTTTACATTTCTTTCGATGGACTCCGCCATGTTTGTAGTGGGCTATTTCAGGCGACGCATATGTTTGTCTCACAACGCTTACAAACGGCCCGGTACAGCGATAGTTAAAAGTTTTTAATGTCATATTTTATAAATACATAATTATTTTTGTTTATGATCAAGAAATGAACTCACCTGTATCATTCCGTTGATTGGCTTGTGTAGCGATCCTTAATGAATCGTTTATTTTTTTTTTTTTTTAGTAATTCTTGGCTTATTTTACCCAATTCAGTTTTGGTTGGGTTTATTAGTCTAAGAGGATTATTGGGGAATTTGTCTTTATGGTCCTTTATAGTTAGAAATGCTTGCTTACAGCATAATATATTAACTCTGTCACTTATAACTAATTTAGCTGTGATGTTTTTCGCCTCCTCGTTTATACTTTTAATGTACAAGTTTCCTACTTTTTTGTAAGTTTTAGTGACTTCTTCGTTTATATTTTTCTGGTTAATCTCTAGGTTCAGAGTATAAATATTCTTTGTTTTGTCTCCTTTGACTAAGATGTTTTTAGTTCTTTTCAGTTTTTTTTTTTTTTTTTACTTCAGTAGTTAACGGTTTTTGGAAATTACTATTAATTTTGTGAATATAATATTGTCTATCATACAAAGCATATCCTTTTCGAATTTAGCCAGCACTTCAATAGCAGGCGGTTAAATTTTAGTTTTGAATTTGATTTTTTCGGTGTTTTCTTTGTTTTTTAAATATTTATTTAATGAAAATAGTGATTTCCATATCATTCTGGTAAAGAATTGCCCAATATTTTGTAATAAATTTAGCATGCATTCTTCTTTATTTGGAACAGGGATGTATTTTTAACGAGTGTGGTATTATGAATTCTTGCATTGTAGTTTCCTCCGTAATTTTTTTAAACAAACGTTGTGCGCTCGAAAAAAAAACAAAAAAAACAATTGTTGTGCGTTCGAAAAAAAGCCGTGTCATAGTGAAATTAATACACATAAAACATATGGTATGTTAAAGTGTACCGGTTGAGATGGATTATGAAAGCTTAACAAAAATACATATGGTATGTTAAAGTGTACCGGTTGAGATGGATTATGAAAGCTTAACAAAAATACACTGAAAATGAAATCGCTCAAATGTAATACAATCGAATATATATGCTGCAAGGTATGGAGACTGATTATGCAGATTTTATGTACATCTACTGCAAGGGTTAATTTTGTTGAAAATCCAGTGTTTTAATGAGCATAAAAAAAGATGTCTCTTCTTTTCGGGATCTTTCCTAAACTTTTATGTTCCCAAATAACCACATAAGTAGCGTATAGGCAGACTGAAACAATATAACATATCTATATATAAAATTCCGTGACTTCCGTTAGTCAGTCCATCACACCCTCTAAAATAGCCATACATTGACCGATCGAAACCAGATTTGGTGGGGGGGGGAGTGCAAGTAGATAAGTAGGATTTTTATCAAAGTATTTTTCCAAACAAATTCGAATTGCATCGGTTGAAATTGAACTTAACGTAGAGTTTGTAAATCTCAACAAAAATGTAGGCGATAACTTCAATAATACTAAATAGTGAAAGGTTTTCAACAAGCGTTAGCGTGTTCAAAAAATTTCTAGTGTATGTATAATTCAATAATGTTAATTTAAAATGGTTTTATTTGCAGTGTGAATTAAGTGGCATTTTATTGCTTAAAAATCTCACATTCTATCCTTTTAAAGGCAAGAACTATTGAAATTTTATATTTTTATTCACTACATTACAAAAATATACGTCAATATATCGGACTTGTCGGAAAAATTATTTACATTATTTATATTCGGACTATTGTCCACATTTTCGTGTTGTTACCACAACTTTTCGGCCGTTGTGACCTTCTTCCTTTCTCAAATGCATATCGATCTGGGTAACCTACAGTGCAATGTGTACTTGCACTCAATGAAAACGGCCGAGCAACAACAGAACAGTACTAAATAAAATAAGAACTAGATGAGATATCCCTAGACAGGGGCAGTGGAACGAGAACAGTCTACTCTGTAGATTAAATAAAGGGTTCAGTTCAGAATTTCCTGTTGGTTACCCAGATTGATATACACCTGAGAAAGGTCGGAGTGCACAACGGCCGAAACGTTGTGATAACAACAACAAGGATGAGGAAAAAAGTCTGAATACTGTAAATAATGATAAGTCTTCGTCGCAGTAATTTAAGCAAAACTTGTTGGAAAAATGTTGGCTGTAAGAGAACTGTTTCATTGAACTTGTACCAATTTATCATATTCAAAATTTACAGATTGGCGGCATTAACTTTACCATTGTTATCTTCTGAAAGGTTTGATGCAAATCTGTTTATGATACAAGAGAACGACGTTTTATCTACTTTTTTTAAAGATACACTTACTTACCTTTGTATATTAAAATTCATTTTATTTGTACTGGTAAGATTTCTTATCTTAATGCGAGAGGTTGTTGAAATAAAGATTTCCGATTATCTTAATACAACAGAGTGTCGGAATGGAAATATATAATCATTTTAATGCGAAAGGTTCTTACACAGGAATTCTCTGATCATCTTAATGCACAACTGTGCTGGAAGAGAAGTCTCTGATCATCTTAATACACGATTGCAAGATAGTGGTGGAAGATAAATCTCAGATCATCTTCATGCGAGAGGGTGTTTAAATGGACACAATTTAAACATCCATGTCAGTTCAATGAGATACGTTACTATCTAAATGAGATCGTAGATGGAATGGAGATTTTTTAATTTCTATTCTCGTGAGATTTAATCAAATAATTTTTAATTCTTGGAGGTGTTGATTAAAGAACTTTTGATTCTTCTCTCCCTCAACTAATTAAGATCAAATATATTTTCATCATCTTCTCACTCGAGTGATTTGATCAAAGGACTTTTGGTTCTATTCTCTCTCTCTCTCTCTTTCTCTCTCCTCTCTATCTATCTATCTATCTATCTATCTATCTATCTATCTATCTATCTATCTATCTATCTATCTATCCCAATTTAATAAAATAAAATTGATAGATCTCCATCAAGTGATGAGATCAAAGATCTTTTGATTCTTCACTCACTTGTGAGATTTGATTACAGGTGTTTTTATTTTTTCTATCGATTGGTTTGGATGATATAAACTTTTTATCTTATTCTCGAAAAGGATGTAAACTTTTGAGCTTTCTTTCCTTCGACAGATTTAATCAAATGAACCAGAAACAAACATGCATTTTTGCTCCATCGATTAATCTTTCGGCTTTTATATGAAATCAATGGATGTATGGGAATTGGAAAATAAATATTTTGTGGCATTAAAACAATCATCGCAATTTAAAAAAAAAAATGAAAATTTGAAATAATGTCGGGTTTATGTTTCTAAAAGCAATTTCCGATTCATATTGGCATGAAATTACAGCATATCGTTTTTCGAAAGATTAACTTACATTCACATGAAATATAAAGAAGTCTTTATCATCATAGCAGAAATACTGCTGCATATTGCTTGGCTTAGAACGTTCTTCAGCAAATAAGTGATTTTTGTTTACACTGCCAAAACGTTTCTGTCTTTGCTGTGAAATACAAATGAATCTAATCAAATTACGACTTTGCAAATAACAAAACAACTTTAAAAACAATTTCCTGATTACTGCAAAAATAAATAGCTTTGATTTTTCCTTCTTTTATTAGTTAATTTGTTTTTTTCTTTACACGGAATTAATTTCGGATAAAAGTGTCCCCCAGCACCCACCAAAATATATCACAATATCTTCGAAAGTCAAATATCTTTTAGTCTCATGAAAGCCAACAGAAATTAAACATCAAAAGATGAAATCATTAGTTCTTTTTTTGTACGTTGATATGTCCCGAATAATTCTCTTTTATCTTTTGCTCAACAACCTAACACTTTCTTATTTTCATTGAATACAAAGATTTTTTTTATTCTTACCCTCTTCTTTTTATTCTTTAAAGTTTTTGTTTTTTTTCTTACAAGTAAACAGCACAAATTGGAGACGACGACTATATTCTCTCCGGTTACTGCTTTTTGCTACAACATCAAAACATCACCAGTGAATGTCTTCATCCATTATCTACTTTTATCTACATCTTCCCTTCCAAGTCACATATCAAGTGGCATTAAAAAAAAATGACTACAAATTTAAAGTGAGCCAGATTTATTCCAGATTGATCTAAATCGATTAAAAATGAAAACCGGTTCTTCACTCGTTATAAACATGGAATTATTCATACACCAAATCTCTGATCCTCCATTTTAATTTTCAGTAAATTTTGTCTACCAATTCGATTCGACTGTTAGTTTGGGTTCAAAATATAAAATTGTTTTTAGGAATTTCTCTTGAATATTGCACTTCAAGCTATTATAACGCTACGGTCATTCCCTTGTTTTTTTTTTTTGTGTGTGTGTCTGTCTCTTTGAGATAAATTCAAACGGCGCGCTTGGCGGGGTGGGTCCCTTTTAGATTAATTTGAAGTAAAGGTAGTTACTCTTGCCTGAGATTATATTAATATGATTTTTTACTTTTTATTTCTGCAGAGTCATGAAAAGCAAAAAAATTGATTGTGTTTTCCCGTCGACAGAATCGAACCCCTGTTTCCTGCATGACAAGCAAAGATGGTAATTCATAAATACCGAAGACTTGGCCGCGTCTAAACAATCCACTTTGATTGATGATGTCCATCTGCAAGTGCGAAAAAAAGAAGAAAGAATAAATGAATGAATGAATGAATGAATGAATGAATGAATGAATGACAAGCATCAGGTGGGTGTGGTCGAGTCGCACTATATGTGGGTAAAAGGATTGCTGGTGCAAAATGTGTGTATGAGGACAGGAAAAAAAGATAACCATGGCATCTATTATTATTATGATTATTATTATTATTATTATTATTATTATTATTATTTCCTTGTATTTCTGTTGTATAGTCATTTCTATCCGGGTCCCAATCACAGACCTAAGATCAGAAATGGCTTTTTCGACTGGTCATTTATATATATATATATATATATATATATAAAACTTATATTACACACATTTTACATAGATAAAGCCCTTGGTAATGCGTAAGCTGTACGTGTGAGTCCAATTTTTTTTTTTTTTTTGCATTTCTTTAAGGCATGATCTGCCAGGAATCTTTTTAATGAGTCTATCGGGACCTTTTCCAATCACTCCGAGGGCTCCAACTACAACTCGAATTATTGATGTCCTCGTGTACCATGTCCTCGTGTACCATATTTCTTTTAGATTTCTACTTCAAGATCTTTGTATTTTGATAGTCATTATTATTATTATTATTATTATTATTATTATTATTATTATTACATGCACATTTTAAAAGTGATAACGTTCATTCAACTCAAAATCAAATTCCCAGTGCTTACATGAAAAGTGGGAATACTTGTCATTCTTCTACCAAGGATTTGACTGGGTCAAGTCTTTGCAATAGACTAATTTGGTTGATATTCCCTCGCAAATGCTTTTGGTAGACAGAAAAACCATTGTCTTCACAAATTGAACCATTATTTTTGTTTTATTTTTTTATTTTCAAGTTCTGATATAATGAGGAAAATAAAGAATTTTTTTTTAAAAAATCCATTCACCAAAAGGAAGAAAGAAATTCATCGAAAGCGTTGATGTGACCATAAATCTTTATTTTGTAGTTTAAATAGGTAAACATTTTTTGTCTTAATGGTAGACCAGCTTTTTCCATATAAAAAAAAGCTGGTTTACCTTTAATGTGTTGATGTGAGTGATAAACAGTCAATCGCTGATTAAACTTTAAGGTTATAAACTTTACAGTTTAATCAGCGATTAAACTGTTTATCACTCACATCAACTAATTTATTTATTTTTGTAGGCATATAATCTGCAATTAGTATTTACCTTGATAAAATAAAATAAAACTCCATTTTTACTTGTTACATATTGTTTATAAAAAGGAATACATTTGACTTGAAAATTCAGATCGGCCCTTTCTTCCAAATAAATTGAAAAATCATTTGTTTATGGTTACTCCGTGGATTGGGTTATGTCCCTTATGCTCTTATTTGTTAATTATCTACACTTCTCTGACTTCTACTCTCTCCTTCTCTGGTGTTGATTCACTTTTCTTTTTTGTTCATTGACGACGAGGACGACGGCGACGACGACGACAGGCAAACAGAATCTTTTCAGCCAGAAACGATGGCGCGGGTGCAAAGAACTCTCCCATGTACTGCGCCGTGACCCCAGGAAGTTGACTCTGGAAGGGTCAGCAGATTTTCGTGAATGTTCCATCTCAGCGGTGGCCATGTGTATAGTCTCAGGTTACCCACCCTCACCCGTTCGACTCTTGAAATTTTGGTCTCGTTTTTCTTTCTCTCTGAAGAGAAATGTGAAGTGGAAGGGAATATGTGTGTGTTAGCACACTCATGCACATGCTTGATTCAGAGACACACAAAGAAAAAAGATATATATATAGAGAGAGATAGATAGGTGGATAGATAGATAGATAATACGCACACACACATACATGAGCGTTCAATCGCCTCGCACCTAAGGATAGAAGCAGGCAGAGAGATAGAGAGAGAGAGAGAGAGAGAGAGAGAGAGTGTGTGTGTGTGTGTGTGTGTGTGCGTGTGTGTGTGAGAGAGAGAACTGATAGACAAGAAAATATAAAAATGAAATTACAGATGAAATTGTTATTTGTAAAATTATATAAATGAAAAGTTAACCCGCATCATAATTGTATATATAGCGGATACTTACACACACGAACACACACAAACATACACGTACACACACACGTATATACATATAGGTGTGTATCTATATAAATATTCGCATTCTCAAATGCTTTGTATTAAAGAAAATTCTGCGAAAAATATCCAAATTTAAAATTCGCCTGTATTGTTCTTAATAAATATTTTACATCAATTTGACCGTTTATAGCTGAAATATACATCTGATTCCAAACATTGGCTGGAATAATTGGCATGTATGTAGATGGTTTGTGCGTCATTACATTTGGATTTATTTACATCGACAACATGCAGATCTTCCTACATGCACACAATTTTACATGCATGCATACGTACATAGGGGCATACATATGTATGTACAGAAAACTATACATACTTGTGCATGTTTGCATAAATATGTCTTTCAAAGTAATAATTATATACATACATGCATATACAGAATTAAATTTATTCGCATATGGGCGGTAACTGAAAAATGACAGTAAGAAATGGATTGGACGATAGATATGATAAATAGAATGTGATAGACAGACAGACAGACTGATTGACTGACTGACAGAGATGTGATTAGAAGGAATATTTTCGTTTTATATTTTAGAAGAACATCAATGTACTGAATGCTGTCGTCAGTCTGAAATACAATCTTAAATATAATCTACTTTTCTTGAAAAAACGCATTGAAAAATCCTGGTTTAATCAATTTATTACATTTTGCAATTTCTATTTTTTCTAAACTAGCTTAAAAGCTGCACTCAGTGCGGACTTTTCAGCCAGTTCCTGCGGAAGGCTAATTTGACCACCGGCCCCAAAATAAAGGGACATCAAGTCCAGCTTAGAAAACAACAATGATAATTTTGAAGAAATAACTTTGAATTTCTCAATTCACTCCATGGAATATCAAAACCTCACTTTAACTTTGATTTGGGCTATGAGTCCAATTCAGGTTGAAAGTCCGATTTGGGCTGAAAATTCAATTTGGGATGAAATTCCATTTCAGTCCGAATATTGTGTTCATCAAATCACAAACTGCGCGGAATTTCAATTGAATTGAGTTCTTCAAATCACAAACTCTGCGGAACTTCAAAACCTCACGTCATGAAACCTTTCACTTTATCTCTGATTCCCTGGCATTTTGAAGAAATGAAATTGATTTCCTCAATTCACAAAGTTTTGTAGATATTTTAAACTGAATTTAAAATTTTTTTTTTTTTTTAAATTCACGAAGTTTTGTGTTACAATTCAATATAAATTAAAAACTT